ATATATATATATATATATATATACACGTTCTGATTTCAGGCACTCACATATTAGATAATATTTTTAGCAAAGTGGTTATACTTCAACCGCTTTACTAAGCAGAAGAAGAACACACAAGATGGTTCATGAAACGCCTTCATCATTCTTCCAGCCCCCAGCATGTCACTGTCCTCATAAAGGTTTGTTTCCAGAATTAATTCCTCTCTTTTAGGTTTTAAGTACAGGTTCGCACAGCTTCAGTGGCAATGTCATCACTCAAGTAATTAAAAACTTACCTTTTTCTTTTCTTTAACATCATACAAAGCCAAACTCGCAAAAATGGGCTCAATTTCTATTTCAAATCTAGAAGGAAAGAAACATAAGATCAGTTGACCTGCATTTTGTACCAAACAATAACCTATTCTCTCCCCGTATCCGTCCTGGATGATGGTGACCCAGAGGTCAGGAACAGTTGGGCCAGTCCTTTCCAGCTCCTGCTGGAAAGGGAATCTTGCTCCTCAGTTTCTCCCCTAGTCCTCTCCTGTCCTGCTCCCTCTGCATCACCTCTGCTCACTTCCATCAGGACCATATTGGTGTGCTCTGGACCTTCTAAAAGCCATTTCAACTCACTGAAAGCCAAGCAAAGCAACCTAACAGCTTCCTTAAAAGGAGAGGAATTATTAATTGGGATAGCTGGACCACTTAGCTCCTCACATTACCTGGAGAAGCTTCCCCATATGCTAATGTACTGTGCTGACCTCTTGATATGGCTAAATGGCCAACTGCTTCCCTCAGCAGTGCTGCCCAGACAGCTTCTGCCTCTGGACAGTCAGGGACAGATATCTGGGCACTTGAAATCATTTAACTGCTGACAGAAAAGACCAGTATCTCAAAAACTCTCCCAGAAAGGTCTCAGCTTTTTGGTGTAACTGTTATCAGGTATTTATGCTAACTGAAACACTTCCAACAAGAACACTAACCTACCAGACAGAGTTGAACTTATTGTTAGATCACCTGAGAGGCCAAAGAAGCCAAAAACCATTCAAATCTGTCCCTGGACCAAAGCAAACAGGGGCTAAAATCTCATCCTCCTGTCTGCACAGCCTCCCCATGAATTAATGCCCAATCCATGTTGGGATCACACACACAGAGGCTTTGCTAAGAGATCTCAGCTTTTCAGCCTGGAACTCATTCTGTCAACAGGGAGAACAACACATGGCATTGCACTATCAAGCAGGTGTTTCCTCTAGTTTTACAACCAAAGGTGAGAGTAAACTGGAAATGACCCTGCTTAGGTCATCTTAGCCTTCTCCACGGGGAAAATGTGCCTGTTTCTGTGCCGCTGGGATGGCACAATCTTGGATGCTTCTATTACCCCTGTGAGTACAGGCTCAAAGATCACTGTGGTACACAAACAAACATGTAGTTGGGCAGATTTGCTATAAATTTACAGTCAGCAAGAGATGCTTCAATAGCAGAAATCATTTAATTTCCAGCATCTAGCTTATTTATGCTAAAGACACATCCTTGGCAGAGGAAGCCCCACTGCTGCTACATATTATGTTGTTCCAGTTCATAAAAGGCTGCAAAATCAGTTCATCTCTATGGCTATATTAGGTCCTAGAGTACTCTATGAGCAGGAGATATGTCCCACACATATATCTCAGTTATGAGCAGCAATGTAGGCTAACTGGAGCTCTCTAATAAGAAGGGTTGACCTAACTGAGGACACAGAAGATGAATACAGCAGTGTGGAAAATCAGTTTTGTACTTTATTTCTCCAAGGGAATAACAGTAAAATTTTACCTTGTGTTATTAGAGAAGAGTTATAGGCAATGAACCAGCTGCAGGTAACCCTATATTCAGGAGCTCCACTTCATTAAACTTGTTTAACAGGTTTCTATTCCTCCAGTTAATGCTTACTAAGTATATAAAGTCTTCACTCTTAAAGGGACACAGTCAAGGTTGTTGAGCCTAAACTTTGGTGAATCTTTGGTTCTCTTATATTTTAAGGCTTAAACAATTCTAATCTTTTTTGTTTTCTCTCTTAAATGTCCTTGTTAGGGAGCCAAACACCAGTGACTGGCCAACTTCAGAGCCCTTGAACAAGAGGTGAAACCCCATGAGTCAGTGACATGGAACAGGCAGAGCTACACACTGGCTGGGAAAGCAACAGAGAAAAGCCAAGGGAAGTCAGTATTTTCTCTGTCACACTATTATGAAGAAAGTCTCAAAGATGAAACTGTCTGAGATGCACAGTGTAACTTATCCTTTACAGAATTAACCTTTAAGCCCATGACCAAACAATGCTACACCCCTGAAAGGGTAACAAACAAGGCAGCAGAGTTTTCCAGACACTCATGGATACAACAGCAGATTGGAATTCCCAAATTCTGCAGTGCAGCTGTCTGTTGGAGTGGTACTTACTTAAGGGACAAACACTTCACCAACAGTCTTTGGCCAAAGTGTTCTTTGGGTACTTCTGGGACACTAAGTCGCTCTATAGGCTCCTCCTGAAACAGAGACACAACACTTGTACAGCCACTAAGAGCATCATGAAGCAAACATATGTATCACTTTTTTCTTCTAAGACACTAGCACCAATTGAATTTGAGGCCTCCCAGCATGTTGCATTCAGCAGCAGCTATAAATATGCTAAATTAAATCCCTTTAATGTTCCTACATTACAAAACCATAAAGGAAAACCAATCTTCAGGAAGTAATACCTATGGCAAGACAACATGCTAAAAAACACACCATCCACAGGATAGCTACAGCTCTTACAGATATTAAACATAGGGATTTGAAGGATTTAAGATCACCTGGCAGACTGACAGCTTTCACATTGCTTATATCCTGCAGTTTTTCAGTCTCACCCACATGCATATAAAAATACCTCATCTGGTGCAGGATGTAGTGCAAAAAGCTCCTTGTGCCTACTGGACTTCCTCTGGTCCTCGTTGTGGTGGTCAATCTCCTCATTTGGGGTTCTGTCCAGTAGGTTTGGGAGAAGGGCATCTGGCAGGGAGTTCTTCAGATCAAAAATGCTGCATGCCCAGCTGCCCCGGGGAGTGTCGTCGATTGACATTGAGCGTCGCTTAAGGTCATCCTGAGAGCCAACAAATTAAAGGCAACTTATAATGGGAAAAGGACTGCACACTTGGAAAATGGGACTATAAATTAGGTTTTATGTACAGAGGTTTTAAAGGCACATTACTTGTTCATCCTGGTAACTGTTGCCATCCGGAACTTCATCAGACTCAAAGATCTGTTTTGGGAGCCCCTTTTGCCTCTCCTTCTGTTTGTCTAAGGTGTTGGGATTGAATCCAGTTCCCAGCTTGTGATATCTGCAAACAAAGCATTGCAAATGCATTCTTAGCATCCCTTTTGACCCCAAACCCAGCAGCAGAACCACAGAACAAACCCAGCATTATCAGCGTGGGTCCTCTCAAGGCACTAGCTGCTCTCTGCAAACAGTATTTCCAGTCAGCCTCCACTGGAGCTGGGTCATAATCAACAACCAGGATTCCAGTACAACAATGTGACTCTGTTCATCTATAAAGCAGCTCTGGGTGATGTCAAAAGAAGTGTTATCAATGGCCAATTAAAGTCATCATAAAATGTGTGATTGTGATGCCAAGATGAGAAGAGGCCACGAACATGAGTACTGAAGGCCTGTGGTTCTGCGGGAGCAAGAACTGACCTGGAGCAGACAATACTGGTAACTTGAAAACCAAAATGTCAACTCCAGGTAAGTTTGGAGCACCTCTGGAGCACAGGCAACTTTCCAACCCCAAATAAGTGTCTTCCCGTAGCATCTCTGTAAGGAAATCCAGTCCTTTGGAGCTTTCCAGGGTGTAAGAGCATTTGCTAGTAAACAGTCTGTCTGCTGCTGCTGACAAGATCAGATCTCTTTGACTAACAGATTTATGGGTACCAAATGGCACTATGTCTGTATTTACACACACACACACACAACCACAGTCTCCTTACAATGCTCACTCTGAGTCAGTTCCCAGTTCCCAAAGCAGTGCTGGGGCCACATCTAGAATTAATTCTTCTTACTATGCCCTGTTACTAAAGTTATCACAGAAGGATGCACAGAGGTGGGAAAACCATGGATGTGCTAGCAGTGAATAATGAAAGGGCAAAGAAAAAGGAGGAATGCATTTTCCCTGCTAGGCTGTAATTCCTGAGGGCTGAACAACAGGATCTGTATAATTCTCACCTGGATGTCTACATTTCAATCACACCAACAAGTGTAAATCCATTCTAAATCACACCTGACCTCAGTCCAGCACACAGAAATTATGCTGTAAGGTTGAAATAAGAATGCTATTGTTTTTTTCAGGCCAATGAAGAGATTTATTTACCTCTCCCAATATTATTAAAGGAATTACTGAACGGGTGGATTTGTCAGCTCCAAAAACATTTTGGTTACAGAGGACTGTAGGCAGAGATTGACAGATAGAGTATTTCCCATGGGGTGGGGAAGAGAAGGATGCAATGTCACACGTCATGTTCTTCTAAAGCCAGAAGAACTGGATTTTGTGCCCCCAGAGCTAGTCAAAGCACTTGGAACTATCCAATGGGATGGATTAAGAGGAGAGACTGTTAGCATCCTTAGCTGGAAAACAATTTAGTCTTTCCCACACAGGTTTTTGGGTTCTTTTCCTGCTCCAACAGTAACTCTTCTCTTTCTGCCCAGTCCATCATCATGATTTTACCCAAGCAAAAGCTGCTATGAATGTTTATGGAAGTGCCTTTCCTTCTCAGAAGGTGTGAGACAACCTTTGACTGCGGTTCAACAATCTCTCATCACACCTTCAACCCACACAGGCAACCTTAACACCTTCAGCTTCATGTTCTCCCTGACACAGAACTCAACCTGCAGCTGATCCAAGAGGACAGAAAGCTCTCCTGCCTCCAACTAACCCTCCTTGGTGCAAGAATCACAGCTAGGAATTCCAGGTACCAGTGCAAGTAGCTGAGAAACCAAGAGGTGTGCTGGCTGGGAGGGTACCAATGCCCAGGTCTGTGGTGTGTTCTAGACTCTGCCACAAAGGCTGGGAGTTAATAAAGCATCTCCCTCCCTCTCTCTCTCAGGTTTCTTTCTGGGTGGCTTTTTTTTTTGGTATGAGATTACAAAACACATTTTTATTAGGTCATGTTAGCAGTGCAGAGCATATCTTCAGCATCCCCTGAAGTGGTTCTCAGGACAACATTAAACCAGTGAATTGTAGCAACTGCCACAAGGGCAGAGCTGTAGCTGCAGTGGAGTCATTTGTAGGTGATACACATCACATGGATCACTTACTCTTTGACAGCAGCTCTTGGAGTAATCAGACTTCCAATCATCCAAGAGAGTGTGTTCCAAGCAAAGCCACTCAGAAACCCTCCTGCTAATTTGCATGAAATAATCAATGCATGCATATTCTCTGAAGTGTTAACTCATCAGGTAAGTGTTGTGATGGTTCAAACATTAAACAATTTTATTTGTTTAAATTATGGACATTCCCAAAGTCTCTTTGGGAACCAATGAAAACTGCAGAGAGCACCTTACTGTTAGATGGTTGTGACTGCACATAAATCTGACATCATCACAAAAATAATGCACCTTCTCCCTAGAAAGGGCTAAACACAGATGAAACAAAGCAAGGAACAATTGCTGAAAGTGATTTTACTTTTTCACATTCCCTAATTTCTCTACCATTGTAAAGGAGCAACTGCAGACTAAAATGGCCTAGATTTTCCCAAATGCCCCAAGGGGTTTTGACATCTGAGATCCAATTTTCCAAACACAAAGCTTCATTTCAGCTGAACACAAAGCATCAGTTCAGCTGAACCGGGCAACTACAAGTCCAGGGCACATGGAATCAATGGCCAGCCATAATTTTTGAGCTTCCTCATAGCAGCTAGCCAAGCCCCAAAAATCTGTCTATGAAATGAAGCTGACAAACAGCACAGGGAAACTCACTTTCTGTTCACAATCGCCCAGTCTTCCGTGTAACTTCTGACACAGTCCCTCACATGAGGATCCATCTCACTGGGAAAAGAATAAAAGCAAAAATCAGGCATTAGAATTATAGAATCATCAACGTTGGAGGAGCCCTCTAAGATCATCAAGAGCAATCATTAACCTGCCACTCTGTAACCCCTTAAACTCTAAACCATATCCTCCAGCACCAGGTCCAGATGCCACTTAAATATTTCCAGGGATAGTGATTCCACCATCTTCCTGGGCAACCTATTCCAGTGCCTGACAATGATTTCTTGAACACACACACTTTCACTTAAGCTCGTATTTCATCTTCCAGGCATTTGCAGCCAAGGATTCCAGGTTTTGGCCTTGCAGACACTCCATTTAATTCCGTGGAGCATGGTGTCACTTTGTCACCTCCTTCACAGCAGCCTCCCAGGAGCTGAAGGGGCTCCAGGGAAGCTGCAGAGGGACTCTTGGGTAGAAACTGCAGGGACAGGACAAGGAGTAATGAGGAATAACTGAAAGAGGGAAACTTAGATTAGGTATTAGGCAGAAGTTTTCCCTGTGAGGGTTGTGAGACACCGGCACAGGTTGCCCAGGGAGGCTGTGGATTCCCCAACCCTGACAGTGTTCCAATCCAGGTTGGATAAAGCCTTGAGCAACCAGTTCTGGTGGGAGGTGTCCCTGCCCAGGGCAGGGGATTGGGACTAGATGATCTCTAAAGTCTATTCCAACCGCTTAACACACTATGACACTGATACCTCTCTTCAGGCACGGCCGACACGAGCGTCCGGCACTCCCGGGGTGTGTACACCACCTCGATGTCATCGGGGGGAAACTCCAGCAGGTCCCTCAGGGGCCCAGACTCCACAGCAAGAGGATGGGTATTAAGGTAGTCCTCCAGGTCAACTGGGTCCACTGCTTCTGTAAGAGGCACCTGGGAACAGACAAGCCATGGAAGAGTCTTAAATCAAGAAGAATAAAGAAAAATCACATGTGCATCTTCTACTCTGTTTTTTAAACCAGTTCTTCTGCCTTGTTGAGGAATTTGATCCAACAGCAGATGATGATTAACCCTAGTGGTGTCAACCTCAGCTAACACACATCACAAAGCTGTTTTTCATGTCTTATCTTTTATCTGATATTCCTCTGCGTATTTCTCTGATGCATACCATCATCACCCAAACAAATACAAATGAAAGCAAAAAAGGTTTCATCTCTTTTCAAGAAATGCATCAGAAGAAAATGTTGCACTTTATTTCCCATATGTATGACCCTGAATTTGTTTTTACGAAGGGAATCCTGATCCTGATCCAAAACACAGGAACCCTTTCTCCCTCAGGCACAGCCTCCAGCCAGGAATCCAGAGCAAGGGCTGATTTACCAGGAACTCAGGCAGCCACAGAACTCTAAAGACTAACATCATTTTGAATTAAACCACTTCTCTGGGGAACACAAAACACAATGTTCATCTACCACAGGTACAAGTTTAATCACCTCTTCTCCCTGACATTAGGAGCCTTTAGTGCCGCGATGACTCTGCCCATGCCAGGAAGGGACACTGCTCTAAATAAAAGGGATACTTAAAAATCATCTTTACTGGGCACAAAGACTGTTCCTGAGGCACAAGGAATGCCTGAACACGTGCGGGAAAACAGCAGGTTTCATGGCAGTGCTGATCTCACCATCCTGAGCTTTTTTTAGGTGCATGAAAAGAAAATCTGCATAAACTGGATACAAACTCACATTGCATAACTTGTATTTTTACATATGGACATTACATAAACACACATATATATATTCTGGTATGAGATCACTATGCTATGAGGCTATACATAAACATAGACATTAAGAGAATGAAAGACTAAAAACAAGTTCTGAGGAGCCTGTCTCTACAGCAACTGACAGATTGCCTAGACTTCCCTGGCACATGCCACTGAGGCTGAGTAGTTTAAGGAGAGTCACAAAAACACACCAAAATTCAGCAATTTTTCACTACTAACTTCCTCTTTCCTCTCATCCAGATGATTTTTGTGGGACAGGGAACTATCCTGTAGCTTGTGTTCTGTGGAGATGACTAAAAGAACACTTAGTACTTCAGTTTCAAATGTGCTTCTCAAAAATATTTGCTATACCAACCTCAAATTCCAGTTTTAAAACTATAGTCAAAGAGTTCGGAACTGAATCAACTTTTTATTCAAGGAAAAAGACTCGGCTAACACAGAGGGTATTGAAAGCATCTCTCCTACCACAACCACATCAATGAATGCTGCAATTTTCTTAACACACTGAAGGCAAATCCTTCAGCAGAAAACCAGTGTGACTCCAGGGAAGTCAGGTGAGCTGACCAGATGACATCATGCCAGATAAGAATCTGGTCCACCAAGAAAACATCAGGAAACTCAGTGTTTAGCTCTGCAATTTAGGTAAAAGATACAAATTAATTTCTGTGCAAATAAAGGCACCATCAAAGAATCACAGAAGGGTTGGAAAGGACCTTGAGAACATCTAGTTCCAACCCTCTGCCATGGGCAGGGACAACTTCCACTAGATCACCATCATCTGTTTAACTCTGACCCCACAACCTTTTCCCCCTTCTAATTCTAAGCTTTTGAAATGGACTCAAAGTATGTGATTTGAAGAACTTTTGAAAACACAAACCAGATACTTTTAACTGTTTTCATTGCTACAATGTTCACCATGAGCAGAACTTGTTATTGCTCCTTCCCACAGCTGATGTGTCACCACCTCACCCTGTTCCTTACAGACAGTGCAGCTCCATTTGGCACGAGATCACTGACAAACATACAAGATTGAGGAGTGAGAGATTATCCTTAAGGAATTGCTAGAAGTACATGTTTGTTCAGAACTGTTGCCTAATACTACTGTTACCCTGTGTGCACATGATCCTTTCCACCAATACACCTCAGAACCAGAGGTGCAAGTGCCCAGAAATGGAGACTCCTTGCAAACAAAGATTAAAATAACAAAACCACTGGGTAAAAACCCCAGAGGTACTGGGTATCCAAAGATGCTGGGAAAAGTACTCCCCTGGGTCCTCCCACGGCCAGCCAAGAGCCCCATCCATGCAGCAATCCTGCTCTGTGCTGGACACTGACAGCACCCTCACTGGGAGAAGACCAGAGGGGTAAAGTAGCCTCAGAGGGTGACTTAAAGCTGCTAAACTGACCCTGTTTTTAAGCCCTAACACTTTAAGACTCCTGCCAATCTCCCTTCTACACTGGCAGCTCCAAAGCTGAGGCACCTTCCCAAACTGAGCTGCCTGTGCAGGAGTTGTGTTTCGACCTGCACCAACTCATTCACCAATGATTCTTTAACACAGAGGAACCTTTCCCTTATTCTCTCCAATCTTTCCACTCCACTCATCCCAATAAACAGAAGGAAATTGCAAGAAGACAAGACAAAAAACCCTGTTTTAACACACACAGAGGACTGAGCAGAGACAGGGCAGAGCCTGACACAGCCCAAAACACACCATGTTTCCCCATTCCTGGCATCTACACCTCAAATTTCACTTGTCCAACAAGAGTGTTGTAATGTATTGGACAAGAGAGGAATGAACTGGCTACGCTAGTGAGAAACCACAGGATCTGGAAAAGCAGGCAGTGCTTAGGGGCTATCTGTGTGCTCCAGGGGTTTCCAAGCCCTTCATATGTCTCAGGATTAGGCCCAAGGTTACACTTCACAATTTTCCAGTTTGTCTCTTTGGGTAACTATTGTACCATGAAGATGTAAACAAACATAAAAGTCAAACCCAGAGGCCTGTGTTAGACTCACCATCTGTGCAGCCAGAAATACTGTCTAGCACCTGAGTAAACAGGCCAAACATAAATTCATGGGTATGAAGAGCAACTACTTGGTGTCAGACTATTGGCAGATAAAAGGCAAGCACATTATTTTAGGCTTTAGATATTTGTGGGGGAGGAAGTGATGAAGGAGGAGGAGGGAAAGGATGAATAAATGCACCAAAAGGAAAATAAACCTAAATGGTGTCCCTGTGGCAGACAGAACCATGAGAGATCCTCTCATGGCTCTTGCTGGTGATGGCATAACCTTGCCCCATCCTGCTTCATGCTCCTGCACCACTGAAGGTATGGATGGAACAAGGAGAGACACAGTACACCAGAGGTTATCCCTGTGTCACCTGGGCAAAGCACCAGTCACCTGCAATTGTCACATGAACCCATGAGATGGAACATGCACACTGAAGGAGTCAGATGAGTTCGGATAAAGAGGAGGTTACCCAACCTCATCATCTCAGCCTCATCACCAACAGAGGAGCAGAACCTGCTCTGTCATCTCACCCACAAGTCTCCAGCCCAGCTTACCTCCTCAAGGCACCAGGAAAAACAGAGGCACCCAACAGCAGATTCCCTCTGACCTATCAGGATCATGGTACTTCCCTACAGCTGACCCCAATTACTCTAGAATAGTGAGTCCCACTGTCAGTTGCACATTGACTGGTTTGAATCCTGCTGCAGCAGAAACAGGGGAACAGCTGAGGAGGGTAAGGCTGTCCTCTCCCACAGCCCTGCTTGCTGGCAGGCTGCAGACAGCAATCTTCAGTACAATCTTCATCCTGCTCCCAGGAAAAGTCATTTCAGTTCCTCTTGACAGCTCCTAGGAAGCAACACTAGATGCCTCCTCCTCAAAACACAGCCAGTTCTTCATCATCAGACTTCCAAAGGGAGAAGGGCAATTCCAGTCAAGTATTTGCAAACATGCAGTCCACCTACCACTGCCTAATATAGAATCAGAGTGTTTTGCGCTGGAAGGGACCTTAAAGCTCATCTCATGCCACCCCCTGCCATGGGCAGGGACACCTTCCACTAGCCCAGGTTGTTCCAAGCCCCATCCAACCTGGCCTGGAACACTCCCAGGGATGGATCACCCACAGCTGCTGTGGGCAACCTGTGCCAGTGACTCAGCACCCTCACAGGGACAAATTTATTCTTAACATCTAGTCCAAAATTCTCCTGTTTTAGTTTAAAACTGTTCCCCCTGTCCTGTCACTACCTGCCTGTGTAAAAGTCATTCTCCCTCTTTTTACAAGTCCCCTTTTAAGTACTGAAAGGCCTCAATGAGGTCTCCCCGAACAGACCTAACAGGGAATACTGGAGTGCTACTGGCAGAAATCCTTGCCAAGGTGTCCATTTCTTCCAAAAAGAGTTTATTAAGACCCCCCAGAAACCAAACTGTGCAGAAGTCCTGAGCACCTTCCCAACCAGGATTACAGAGCAATCTAAAGTAATGACAAATACATGCTCCAAATATGCAAAGGAAACCTGCCCCCAGAATTGCTGCTCTTTTAAAAAGCACTCTTTGGTTTTGTGAGGGCTATAATTACAGATGGAATTTTGGACAAACTTTCAGACAATTCCCCAACATAAGTTTTGACTCAGTGTTTATCCCAAAATCAGACACTGCCACACACTAGTGCCAACACTATTCTGGTGCTATTAAAATGAACAGGACTATGGAGGGAGAAAGAGGTATGAGTAAGAGAGGTATAACCTGCTCCTTGCAACATAAACACTAACTGCTGTGTTTATCATAGTACTGATAAACTGAAAGGACAGGAGAAATCAAGCAGGACTCTCTCTTTTGCAGACTTCCACAGCCCAATTACCCCAAAACAAACCCATCACTTGCAAATAATGATCCTGAATAGATACATCCTTAACCTGACCACAGACACATGTTCCATCAGTTGACTAAGACACCATCCTGCTTGATTTGGCTTCTCTACGCCATTCAGCACAGTTTCCATAGGTGCACCTGTGTTGTTGCAGTTATGGCTCTCAGCACTCGCAGCACGAAACCCTATTTCAAAGGTTTACAGCTCTCCTGCAATGAGGCCACTCAAGCTTTCTCCTTTAAGGGTGTGTTATTCTTCACTGTTATATCCCCTTAAAA